ATTAAATTCATAATGGCAACTATTACCCTGTCTCTTTTTTGAAGAAAAAATTAAGTAAAAATATAATTCTTAATTAAATTAAAGCAGACTTTGATAAAACCTGATTAAATATAAGAACGCAAATAAAAACACAAAAGTATCATTTTATAATGCAATTTTTCTTTTAAATCAAAAAACATTATAGGAAAAAATATCAATCAAAAATATAAAAAAACAAAAAATATCAATAAAATAATGCATATTCATAGTTTCATGTTAGTCAACAAATTTGAATAAAATTTATTTACATAAAAAGCAAACATCATTTAATGTGATGTCTTCGTGTACCCAAACAGTACATACACAACAAGCTATCCAGTCAATTTGGGTATTATTGCACCATTTCCCTTGACAAATTGGACAAAACCATTCCTCTTCATTATTTTCATCTTTTTCAATCAAGCATTTCTTTAGTTTTCTTTTCTTTTTGTTTTTTTTTATATTTCTCTTGCTTAATTTATTGTCATTGTTCTTATCCAGTAAATTTTTTTTCTTCTTGTTCTTTTTTTTTTTCCTATTTTTTTTTTCTCATTGTTCTTTTAAAGTAAATTTTTTTTTCCTATATGAAGAACTAGTTGTAATCTGAGATTTTTCAGATAAAGTTTTGGAATTTGAAGTATGTTTTCAAAAGAAATTGATGAAGTAATAGTGATCTCTGAAAACCTTTCAATTGACTTTAATTTATCGTGACAAATTAATTCTAATGTAGTCGACTCTAGCTGCTGTAAAATTTCACTTTTTTTTTTGTTATGACGTTCAAAGTGAATTTTATGTGGTATGGATAACCTGATTTTATTATTATCATTCAAAGATGTCCTTAGATATTTATTTTCTAACAAATGCCGATTAAATGGGATAATTCCAGTTGCTCTAAAACTTGAAGTAGCATTTTCCATATTAGCAGCTCTTAAATGTGCTTCATTAAAAATTTCTCCAAGATTTTCTGTTTGAATTTGTTTTCCTGAATGGTTTCACATCCGTCTCATACATGCTTAATTAAAAAAGGTTTTCAAAGGTTTAAAAATGGTTTAAAATGGTCCAATAGTTGAAATTTATGAGTTATTTTAGAAAAAATAATCCATTGTCACAAGCATAGTCTATAAGTTTTAAGCTTTTGGTATAAGAACGATGACCGCGAAATATAAGTAAAACTTTGTTGATCAAGGTGCATTGTATATGTTTAACAAAATGATGTGTATATTCAAGAAATAAATCAGTATTAACCATCAGCCATTTTCTGAGCATCCTTAAATAGTTCCAACTAGAGCATTATCTGTGAGTAATAATTTCTTTTTTTGCACTTAAATCATAGGTGGTACATAATGACCAACAGAATTACATGCACATAAAATTGTTGTTGTGACTCCTTTTTCCCTGCTTGTCACTGATGAAACACACCGATAATGATAAGATAACTTTTAATGGCTTATGGAGGCATGACAACCCAGACTCATCACAATTAAAAGTTTGATGCGGCTCAAAGTGATATTTACCTAAAAAATTCTCTAAATTACTAAAATAGATTTTAATATTATCTTCTTTTAAACCAAATACTCTGTTTATAGAAATTGTTTCTGGTTTTCTAGTGATAAATCAGGATGGCGTTTTGAAAAGCCTCACACAAAGTCTTCTCCTGCTAATTTACTCTCTTTGTTAAAAGGATTTGGATTTAATTTTTTTTGCAGAACTCAAATACTATCAATCTAACATCCATCATTGAGAGACCATAAAATGAATTGTCCATATCTTTAATATACTTATTTAGATCTTGTTCTTGATTATCAGATAGTACTTTTCTAATCTTCCAAGTAAATTAGTAAGTAAACTACTTTCAAGTGTAACCTTTTTAACACGCCGATGTAGGGAATCTTTTGGCACACTAAAGTTTTTCTAAAAGACATCTGCTTCAACTTTACTGCTGTAATAGCATTTTTCATTTCATCTTCGTTCTAGTTAGCTTGATTAGTTTTTCTCTTGTAGTCTCTCATTTAAAAGTTTTTGGTCACTAAGTTACAACAAAGTTATGTTATATTCTTTTAAAGTTTATAATAAAATTATGTTTTACTTTTACATAAAATTCTTTCATAAAATGATAAGATGATCGTAAACGTTTACTTTGACAATTTATCAAGTTTGTAAACTTGCTTTCTTAAACGTTTACTTTGAAAATCTTTTTCAGTAACTAGCGTTGTCGCACATTCCTTGTAAATGTGAAGTTACATATTTCTTAAATATCTTTGAAACAAAAAAATCTGACATAAGAAGAATTGCAGCTGAAAGATAACAAATAAATGATTACAAATTTAATATTATTTTTATTCTGTGGTAAAAAATGGCAACGTACTTGTTTTTTTTTCCATAAAAAATAAATAAATTTTGATTTTTTAATCAAATTGACTCAACTCGTAAGCTTGAAACCAACTTTTCTATCTCATATTATAGAGAAAAACTGATGGAAACTATTTTAAAACATTAAAAAAACATGAAATTTTTAATATAATAATCCAAAATTACTGTATCATTTCAAAAAAAAACTGTACAATTTTAGAAAGCCTAAATATCTTACTTTGGCCGCGGTGTCTCGCTTTGCCCCAGGTGACCCTACTATATACATTAGATCAACGTTGGGTTTAGATTGTCAAAAAGTTGATTACACTATCTTAGTGCAATTAACTTTTGCAATTTTTTTATATAAGTTGGAGCAACTTATATAAGAAATATCGTTTTACAATTGTTTACTTAGATAAAAAACTTGAATAAAATGTCACTATTCAATCTGCTTTTTAATCCGTCGGTATTAATCTTTTCATAGATGTCACTGTTAAACACTTGGGAATATCTTATGATGATGTTAAGGTGAGTTTCCACTTATCCGTTTTTTTACGGGAACGGGATAGGGAAGGAAAAAATAACCACGTGGGCATGCGTAGTATAAGTTTTAATATGTCCTAAAGAAAAACTACGCATGCTCACGTGATTATTTTTCCCGTCCTTTTCCCGTTCCCGTGAAAAAACGGATGAGTGGAAACTCGCCTTAACTTACAATAGATTCTTAATTTATCTGATGATGACGTTACTTATGAAATACTTTTAAATATTTTTTTGTTTTCTATTTTTCTTTAATATTTTAGCAGTTGTATGCATTTTAGCAGTTCTTAGTTATTATTTATTTTCTAACTTTTTATATATGTTTTAAATTTCTTGCTTTTTTGATGTCTTTTAATATATATTTATGTTTATATAAAGATTATACGTTTGTGTAAAAATTTTAAAAAGCGGATTGGTGATAAGTTTAAATGTGTTGTCTTCTTGCTCCAGTTCATTTTTGAAATATGTGTATGCTTTGTAAACCTTTTAAAAAAGCGAAATAAACAATTTAAAGAAAAGTAAATAACAATTTGTTAAGTGTTCTTTTCTTTTCTTTAAGAATAATTTGTAATGAACACAAAATATAGTTGCTAGATAACGCTTACCTACACGTTTCTTTAACATAATATCTTATTCTAACCTATACGTTTATTATTACAACGCTTACCTATGCATTTTTCTAACATAATATATTATGATTAGTTTAATATTCAAAACTGTTTCCCTCATAAAACTGTATGTAAAAATTATTTAAATTAAATAGTATTACAATGATTTTTTACGTTGTCATTTAAATTAATTTCAGATCATTGTAGTTACTTGGGAAAAATTACTAATTAAAAAAACTGAAAAAAAGGTTTTTATTCTGTCCCGTCCCAATTATCCCAGCAAACATTGTTTTAGTGGATTTACAGTGAAGCTACATAGATATTTTGAGAGGTTAATTGGAGTTTTTCTCATCTGTTGCTTAGTGGATCAATAGTGGTAGCCCCTAAAAATGGCCAGCTGATAACTTTCTGGCGTGTTAATAGTGCTTAGTCATTGGTTAGCCAATTGTGATGTTGTGGACACGTTACACCACAAACTCTGCACAAGTCTTAACATAAATAATTGTAGCAACATAGTGGTAGTAGTAGTAGTAGTAGTAGTAGTAGTAGTAGTAGTAGTAGTAGTAGTAGTAGTAGTAGTAGTAGTAGTAGTGGTAGTAGTAGTAGTAGTAGTAGTAGTAGTAGTAGTAGTAGTAGTAGTAGTAGTAATAGTAGTAGTAGTATTAGAAGTAGTAGTATGGGAGCGACATGGTATTCATACGTGATATTTATTTGATGTATTACTGCTTTAAAAACCATCGGTTACGGGAACATAACCGGTGGCTTCGTCGTTGCCGAGATATAACTCTAGCGTAATGACTTAAGTAATAGTAGTCTATTACTTAAGTTATTACGCTAGAGTTATATCTAGTCACGGGTGGGGCAAAGGGTATAATTGATGGGGCCTAAACCTATTTAAGCATTTTATATGCCCGCCACAAAAAAAAGTTAAATTAGTTCAAATAATTTAAATAAAATTTAAAAGAATTTAAAAATTTACAATTTTAATGTTTATATAGTACATAATCCTAAAAAAAATCAAACAATTCTTCTTCCTGCTTTCTAGTACAATGTAGAAATTAAAACTAAATTAAACTTTCCTTTCATTAAAACTATCTGCAATGTTGCTCTCGATGTTGAGTTTATTCTTTGGCACATTTAAATCTATTTCATGAAAATTTAAATTTTGAAATAATTCTCCACACTGTTCAGCAAACTAAATGGGCTAGATATGATAAAGTCTTTTATTACACCTTTACATATCAGTTTTGTCAACTTATAGTTTAGTGTACTTAAAAATAGACTTAAAAATAGTAAAAAGTTCTTGTTTTTGTAAAACTTTTTAAGTTAGCATTTGCAATGATAAAAAACTTTTTCCTATCTACCCAAAATTCCTATTATCCAAGTTTTCTAAACAGTTTACAGCCAGTTTACTGAGCAGTGTAACAATGCTATTGTATGGTATTCTATAAAAAAGCTAAGAATTAATTTAAAAAATGAGCCTAATTAAATTTTTAATATCTTAACAGTATTACAAATACACAAAGTTTAAAAGAACTCAAGATTTTGTTTATTTTTATCATGACGTTATATATGCTACGTGGAAATACTTAATTATAATACTTTATAACAAGATCAGGTCATTTTGAGTATTCAGTCTATTCATCAATCTATATTTTACCGTTCGTGAGAATTTTATATCAATAAAGACTTTTTGTGGTATTTGAGAAGATTTTGAAGTGTGTTACAATTTTCTTTTCAATATTCTATGACTCTCCCAACTTTTTGGCAAACTCTAAAATAAATAATGTTTTGCAATAAACTTTTTATTTATATACAAGGCCGGCGCAATTGGTGTGTGAGTGAGAGGAAGGGGGTAACACCTCCTTCATCAATGTTTTTTTCGTTCATTTAGTCGGCAAATTTGACCCTTTTAGACAAGTCAGTCGGCAAATGTAGAACCTTTAGACAAGTCAGACGGTAAATTTAAACAATCAATCGGGAAATGTCGACTGTTTAGTCGGTAAGTGTCGACTAGGCAATCGGCAAGTTTTAAAAAACGAGGACCTTTTTTTTTTTATTTTAATTTTAGTCGGCAAAGGTTGTATTGGCACCAACCCCCCCCTCCTCACAAGACACCTACTCATGCCGGCTCTGTTTATATATAACTTTATTAAGTACAAACTGACATAAATGCAACAAAGTACAAACACTGGTATAAGTTTGAACTTATATTAGTGCATTAATTTATTCATTAGATATATAATACTAGTGATGCAGAATAGTAGCGAAATTATTTTTTACATTTCGAATTACATTTTTTCAGAACAACTTTTTTTTTTTTGATTTAATTAAAGAAGTTACTTCTTAAAAAAATAAAAAATACTACTAAAAACTTACTACTTAAAAAAATAAAAAATTAAATACTATTTTACGAATAAATATATTTTGTTTCGTTGTAAAACTTTTAGAATAAAACAAATTTTCAAAATTCTAAAATTTAAAAATTTTAGACTAAAAAATTTTTATTAAAAATATATTATGTAAAAGTATTATGATTTTTTTAGAAAACAAGCATTTTTTTATTTTCATTACGATTTTGCTCATAAAACTTGCTTATAAATCCTTTAGGAAATCAGGTTGGAAGACACTAGTGGTAAAAGTTTGTGAATATAAATATTTCTGCATTATAACCGATTTTACGAATTTGTAAAGTAATTTGTAAGACTAATGACTGTTTTAATTAGAAATAGTCTTTTCAACATACACACTCAGGTAATTTACATCCACAGGCTAAGGTGTACTTGATTTGCGCGTCTGGGGAGTATGGAATATTTTAGTTAATTTCAATAAAAAGACGGCTAAAAAAATTATCGTTTTAATCACCCGTAAATCAAATAGCGCGTCCACTTTATTGCAGATAAAAAAAAAAATTATTTAAAAGTGTTTATAAGGTATAAATTTCAAAAAGCTTAAAAGTTTAAAAGAAGTTGAAGCATAACAAACCAAACAAAACTATGGAAACGAGGCTAAAATAATGAGATTTTTAAACCTTTAATGAAAGGTTAAAAAAGTTTAAACTCTCTAAACAAAAAGATAAATTTAATTTACATCACTATTCTGCATCATTAGCCTAAAAGATAATATTAAATAAAATATCAACCTCGATAATTAATAACGCCATTTTTTTTAACATCTGCTTCTCTAAGCATTTCATTAACTTCCTCGGAATTAATTTTTGGATCACCGAGGCTCGTAATGATAGTATAGATGTCGCTTGCACGTATATATCCTGATCGTTTAGGATCTAGCGTTTCAAATGCCTGCATAAAGTAAGTGTATAATTACCAGTTTTTAGTAAAAAACTAAAATACAAAAATTAAAAAAATAATTACGATAAATTTTTAAATTTACGATAATATTTTTGAATTTAAATTTTACTTTTTTTTTTGAGTAAAGAAAGTGCTTCAAAAGAAGATATCAACTCAAAAATATCGGTTTGACGCAAAACTGCTACATGAAAATAAATATATTGAAAATGTTGAACAAATAAATCAACAAAGATAATTGAAAGTGTGCAGTATTTTTAAAAATTTCACGAAAAAGGATTTTTTAACGATTGTCAACGAAAAAGAATATAGAATTTATTTTAAGTGTTATAATTTTAAGAAACTTATTAATTTAAAATCTTTAAAATATCATTTTGAAAAAATATTAAAAATATTATTTTGAAAAAATTCTCAACTTAACTAAAAAGTTAAACTTATTACTCATATTATCCTAAATTGATTAAAAGAAGTTTGATCGAAAGATGGTAATGAAGGTTGGTAATGAAGGTTACAATCGAACGTAAATTTATTTCATGAATCCTGAAACGTAAAACTGAAATTGACTGCATTTTTGAAATTTTAAATGGTTTTTATTTTTTGGCATTATTATTCTTATGATTTAAATATTATTTTAATTTTCTTTTCGTAATTACTACAATTATCACCAGCACTTTTTGTTTATTTTTGTTTATTTTTTTTATTATTAAAACCTGCAAATTGATTTCTACATGTTTGTTTTGATGTATATATTATGTGCTTTGGTTTGTGTGTTTACGGTCCATGTGTTTCAGTGTGTCTTTGCTTATTATTACTAATATTATATTAAAAATTGGTGTCACTCTTTTGATCAGATTTCTGTATGAGTGACACGATCCTAATAAATCATTAACTTATTATTATATTAACATTAGTTATTATTTTTATCTTTTCATTGTAATTATTGTAAACATACTTATTTTTACTACTACTATAATTTGTATAATTATTTTTTTTATCTTATGTTATTATTATTTATTTTTGCTATTATTTTTGTTATCATTATTATCAAAACTATTGTAAAATGATTTAAGAAAAATAAATAGCTTGTTGTTGTTGTTGTTATTAAAAAAAAACATTTTTTAAAAAACTGTAAAGAGTTATTTTATTTTTAGTAAGCAGAACAGAATAAAAACTGCAAAAAGTCAAAATTCACTTCCACTAACTTCTATTGTTGAAATGTTTAAACGGTTTTTAATTTGAGGTTTGTAAAATACTATAAATTATTACTTGAATTTGTAAAAAGGAAGTTAATTTGATGACAATATCAAAAATGTGATTGATTATCACAATAAAAAAAAAAAAAAATGTGATTGATTTGTTGTTGTGCTTCTTGCGAGAAAACTACAGTTTACATTAAAAAAAATTTTAGTTAATCGGAAAAAAGTGTTTTTATGATTAACTGATCAATTTCAAACACAATAGTTGTCAAATTGATTATGCAAGTTATAAAACTGATTCAAGTTTTTTTGATCAATCAGTGACAAGCAGGATTACATTCGAAAAATAGCAGCAAGTATAATCACGCACAATAAAGAAAGCTGTTTTAATAAAATAATACTTTTTGCTCAGTTCACTTAACTTCTAACTGTTGACTCACTTAATTTCTAGCTCTGTTGACTGACTTAACTTCTAACTCTGTTCAGCGTTGCCAGATTTTTTTTGCGCTAAAATGCCAAACGCTTGTCGATTAAATGCTAAATTTTATCAATAATGCCAAAAATATGCCAACCTTTAAAACAGTAGAAAAATTTATCAAAAATACATTGAACCTTTTTTATTAACTATGTATTCAATATAATTAATTTTCAAGTCATATATTTATCAGTTTAAACATACTTTTTATATACTTTTCAATAAAAAAACGACGTTTAACAAATTATTTATGTATTTATTAATAAGATAAGTATATCCACTCAACTTTCAATTTAATATAAGTCTAATGTTTAAAAAGATGAGTAAGAGAAAATTTCAGATCAAATTCTGTTAAAAGAATAATAAAAAATGTCTCACTATCAAACTTCCTTCAGTTTAAATCATCAATTAAAGTGAGGTCATCTTGGACTAATTCATCTTCGTCAAAATACATGTCTGTCCCCAAATTCGCTAACATTTTATCAGTGATTTTAAAGTCTTTACATCACTTGTTGCGGCTACCAAGGTAGGCTTTTACTCGCACTACACTGCTGCGCAATTTGTCTAATATTATGTTTCTTGGTGTTAACATAGGTGACCTGAGAAAAAACACGTTCCACAAAAGCATTTGATATAGGAAGAACAAGAAAGGTTTGGCAATAGTCTGCAAGTTCATTAAATACTGCATCTCCTGATGTATTTTTGTAGTGGCAAATTGCAATCAAGAACTCAGGTGTATCTTTTGGTACACAAGAGTATTTAAACAGCCCCGAAGAAGTCCATTCAACTAAACTTACTTTTCTGTACTGAAATTCAAGGCTTTGTGCTTTATCCTTCATAGTATGTCTTAAAGGCAGGTGAGTAAATAACATTTGCGAACTTTGATCCAGAACTTTTGATGGTGAAAGAAAAGATAGACCTTGAAAAATTTCTTTGTGTACAGGTAGACGTTGATCAAGTTCTTTCAAAAAACGAAAAAGAAGTTGAAGACAACGTGTTAGAACACTTTCAATTTTTTTTCTTTCTTTTTGGGTTTGAGGATAAGTATCAATATATTTTTGGCAATCTGATAAAAACTTTGTCCTAAAGTCAACAGCTTTTAGAAGCAGTTGAACTCCTTGGTTGTCAAGAACACGCTGTCATAGACTTTTGTAGTGCAAGTTTAGCTCTGAAACTAGCCTCTCAAGATCCACATTAGTGCTTTGAAAAATTTAAAGATTCAAATTCTTGAACAATTGGAGTCAAAAAGACCACCTAAAGAGTTTCATCTTTGAACATGTTGTTAATTATTGTAACTCTATACCTAATGCGAGTAGGAGCTAGAGCTTCAGCACATAAGAAATAGGCTTAATTCGTACCAATTAATCATCAAATTGTAAAGACATTTTTCCTATGACAAGCCATTGAGTAGCTGAATACTTTTGAAATGGTGATGGTGTTCCCATTCTTTCATTGTTTGGATACATTGTCTCAAAAAGTATTTTAAACTCTTCTCGTCAAAAGGAACTTTTTGAGAAAAAAGAAGGAATTTTACTGAGCAAAAAGGCAACACTTGATGACATTAATTCAAAGGAATGTTGAACAAAGATTCAAAGAGTGACATGTACAGCGTATTAAAATACAGTTAAAATACAGTCAGGAGAGGCTGCACGAACATGAGAATAAACCGAATTGTGAATTTCAATGACATTTGAAGTTCTATCTGAGCTATATCCATCGCAGTTTTTAAAGACAATCCAACATACTCTAACTTTGTTTCCAAAACAGCAAAAAGATCTGCTTCAGCGGTTGATATCACAGCAGCTAAACCAAGAAAGTAATCAATAACTGATTTCTGTTGATCTGAATAGTATCGAGCACAAATGCAAAGATGTTTTGTGGAAGAAACATCAGTTGATTCATCAATCAGGATGGAAAAAAGTGATTTACAATTGAATCAGAAATTTCTGAATCTGCCATTGATTCAGAAATTTCTGATTCAATTGATGAAGAAATTACATTTTTAACAATTTGGGTGCATTTAATTTGATGCAGACAAAGGTTTTCAAGGGGACTGTTTTTTCCATAATGAGAAATGATTTCTTCAAGGTGATCCATTGTTGAAATGGATGCATGACAACAAACGCAAAAAGAAAGATGAATATCTGCTTCACAGTCTGCTTTCTTTGATATTTTAGGAAACGTAATCTGGCTTTTTGTGTTGAGATGCTTTTCTTTTGAAGCATGTCTAAAAGTACCACAGTGCTGTTCTACAGACGACTTCCGTGGTTGTATTGTCACACGACAAATGGTACAGAATGTTGATTCAGTACCATCAGAGCCATTTTCAAGTCAAGGATCATCCGTTTCTCATTTCGCAAGGTACTTTCTTGAATTTACCCTCGACATAGAGCCTAATGTTCTAATACAAATTAAATACAGACCAAATGAAAAAATAACGAATTCAACAGTTTTTTTAAAAATGAAAAATAATGCCAAAATGTCAAAAAATACCAACATATTTAAATAATGTCAATTTTACTAAATTTGGCATTAAAATATGCCAGTTGGCAACGCTGACTCTGTTGATTCACTTAACTTCTAACTCTGTTGACTCACTTAACTTCTAACTTTATTGAGACATATTAATTGCAGGAAAGCCGCGGACATTATTCATTTTGGCTTAAGCATAAATGTACTGCTTCATTTAACTTCTATAAAAAAATCAAAGTTAGACGAGTTTATTAGTAAGCACAGTTAAAGATAGAAGACGGACGTAAAATAGTTTGTACTTTTAAGTTTTATTGTAAGTTTAATTAAATAGAAATGGGTTGGGTTCAAATTAAAATCTGTTTTAAAAAGGTTTATAATATATATATATATATATATATATATATATATATATATATATATATATATATATATATATATATATATATATATATATATATATATATATATATATATATATATATATACATATATATATATATATATATATATATATATATATATATATATATATATATATATATATATATATATATATATATATATTTCTTTTTTTTTTTTTTTTTGAAGTTATGGTTAAGATCGTTTCTCGCTTCTTTACTAACCAAGAAATTGAAATAACACTTGGAACCCTTTTGTCAATAGATCTTGTTAAAAAGATTACTGAACCCAAACATTTGTCAAAACATAAAGGTCCTGATAAAAAAATTAAAGATGTCCAAGATATCTGTAAACTGATGTTTAACATTACTTCTCCGAACGACAACATTCAAATGATTTGTCATGTCTTCCCTTTGTGGACACTGATTACATGGATGTCACTACTTTATCTC